GTTTATTTTGGAGTAGTATGGTGAATGCAGAGTAGTTATTATTAAGCCGAGCAGTTAGGTAACGAAAGTCGACGGCTTTAATACAATCCACACCGAATCCTTCAGTTTGTTTAGTTCAGGCATATCACATAGCAGTGAGTTTAGGCTAGAGTGAGCGTAAATAAGGCATCCTCCGCCTCGTCCATTCAATCTATCGCTTCTATATAGGGAATAGTTATCAAGAGATATACTTCGGTCGGAAATATTACTGTTAGTCCATGCTTCAGATATCATAATAACTGATGGTTGATATATGGATACAAACAGGGCTAAATCCGTCTTTTTGTTGCAGATCGATCGAGCGTTGATAAGACATATATTAAGCAAGTGGCCTACTAAGTTAAAATGGGTGAGGGTATCTCGGATAAAATCGTCGTAACCCTCGCGGGTGTGAGATGAGTTTGATGTGAGGGATTGGATGTTCTTCATTAGCTCGGTATTTTGATAGCTAGACTTATTGGGAGATGTATCAAATGAGCTGGTGAAGTTGATTGGGGAGTTTACCCAGGAGGAAAGGGTGGGAGTACTCTGTGATGGAAACTGTACGGAGGAAACAAATTTATGGTTTGCATGTGGTTTGAAATAACCTGGGCTATATGCTTCAACAGAGGTGTCACTAGGGGTCTTATTCCAAAAAAATCTTGTACAGGCCTACTGTGAAGTGTATGGTTATTTACAAAATAGTCTTGATGGTTAGACTCGTAGCCCCTGTTATGGCTATTTAGGTTAGCGTGAGAGGGGTCTGCTACGCGTAACTGGGAGGAGTTGCGACTGCTGTTATACATGGGAGCCGTTGTTATGTGATGGGTCGGTACTAAAGGGTGTGAGAAGTTTTCTTTCTGAGAGTAATTACAGTTGCGATCCTGGGGAATGTAGGTAGGGTGTGGAGTGAGAAACCTATTATTACCATTCTTATTCATGGTTTTAGGCTTCAGGGGGTGATTTGGGTGGCCAGTTCTCTGGTAGTTTTCGTTAGTCTGCGTGTAAGAAGGCTTGCTACGTTGAAGCCCACCACCCTTTTTGCAACTTGGAGGTGTTGAAGGCAAGTTATACGATAGCAGCGGGGAGAACCTGTTCACTGTTCTTGGGATACCTATAGAGCAGTTGGGTTCAATCTTACGTGTTTCCCTATTCGGTATCATGAGTTTTGTCTTCCCACCCTTTATTTTCAGAGCTGGATTCTTTCGTTGTCTTTGTGAGATGAACTTACGTTCATTCAAGTCTACTTGTGGAATATCTTTAGGAGGACAAATTTTCAAGTGTATAGGTTTAGTTGGATGTGTGTTGTTACACGACTCACATTTTAGTACATTACTGAACGAACAGCTGGGATTAGTCATGTCGTTATGGTTTTTGGTGTCAGTTGGGGTCCGTATCTTATCCAAAGGTTTCTGATCTGTAGACTCATCTAGATCAACAGAGTGATCAGCCGTATGTGGAGTGGTGTCATGCTTATTGTTCGTGTGTTTTAAACTATTTGCTGTGTTGCAAACTGTCTCTGGCTGATTATTAACTGTAACACTCCCATTCAATTCTATCGCTTCGCGTCTTCTTACACGACGTTGACAGGGCGTAAGGTCTGGAGTGACTTTTATATTCTTGTATGGAATTAGTGAGCTAATGTTTTTGCTCAAATCAATAAACTGCTTAGCATCGTTACAACAGCCAAACATAAACAAGAGGGGGCAAGTCGATCTGTCTGACTTTTTTCTAAGGCGGATGACTTTGCAGTTAACGTTCGGCATACCGCATGCTCTAAGGCAAATATCCCTTAACTTAGATGGGTGTGTGCGGTCGGGGAGGTTGTACACAACTGCATTGAAGGAGGACATCACTCTCTTCGTCACTTCTTCAGCCACAAACTCCAAAATACACTCAGCTTTAGTGAGTTGCTCAAGATTTCTGTCTGTATCAAGGCCCCATATATGAGTGAGGGGTGCTAATTGCTCAAGTTTGCCGTTAATTTCGGATAGAGAGTTTTGTAGCTGTCGGATGTCATTACTATATCTATCAGTATTTTGGTGTGTATGAGGTGGACCATTGGACTCTTTAGTTTTTGAAATTTTAGACTTAGGCCTTGGTAGCACATACTGTCTCGTAGACTGTGCTGCCTTTTCGATGCACGTAGGTATAGTGTCTTGTATGTCAACCAGTCTTACCGTTGGCATACTGCACGTAAAGATAGAGGGGCTGCGACATGGAGAATCTGGTGACGATAGAGACATTTGTGTACAATACACATATTTTTCAGTAGTTAAAGGTTCGACATTGTCAAGCACTAAGTCGTCAGTTGTAGGGGTTACAGATTTGGACCTTTTATTTGGCTTAGAAGTTGGTGAAATTCCTCTTTTACTGGAGTTATTGGACATGATATGAAAATAAGTGAGCACAGTGCTCGTTAAATTTTCGCATGTATCGGGGCGAGATGTTCCCGATATTCAGGATAGGATGATAATCACAGTATAATACACCCTACAAAAGAGCAAGTCGAAGAATTCCTAAACCAAGTGAAAAAATGTTACCACTTTCAAAGTTCGCGTATGTACCGACCGGTATATACAGTTCTTTAGAGAACTTAAGTCTCCAGAATTCTAAAGTTGCGATTTTGTTGATGATACTTCTGAAGTTGTGATAAAATATATTGGTTCGTGTGTCGGTATTGTCTGCAGAAAAGAAAGTTCCCCAATCAGTCCGTCTTAGGTAATTGTGGAAGTTATTCTAATCAACCTTGTGACAGTTTTGAAGAATGACACAGGTATTCAGTGTTTGACAACGCTTCTACCAGTAACATCTTCTAATATGATTTGTACCCACCAAGAGAAATCAAAAGACAGAGTCGAGGAGATCGGAAGAGTGCATTTGGCGATAACCAAAAATCGGAATTCTCTGATCTAATCTGGCTAGCGATTGCGGTTGATGTTGAGCACGGCGTTACCACACGTGATCTGGTGCGGATGCATGACCGAGCGCCTTCAGCTAGATGAGTCCACTAAAACATATGGTCAGCATCCAATGTCGAAAAATTAGTGCTATTTATTTTGGGGATTTGTTTACCGCTACAGTTTCTACGAAGTATTACGGTTTTACGTCTACCGGTCTACGTATGACAGTGTTATGGTCACTATCAGGAAACGTTTTTCTAGTATACACAGTTTTGGGGATGAGGCCACTGGTGAAAACCGAGTCCAGTAAATTTTGACGTCTAGTGAGTCTACTGTCATACTGAGTCCACTGTTCAAGCTCTAGACATTCAGTAAATGATTTATAACGTTTCGGCCTCTTGACTGGGAACCAAGAAAGTTCGTGCATGTTGAAATCACGACAAATAAGCTTGCCTGTGAATGGAAGGGATGATGGTAGTGTGAATACCTCCGATAATACTGCTGCTTCAGCTATTGATGCTTTAAGTTGATGGTAGACACAGGCGAACAGTGTGTTTGAAATAAGCGAGTCATATCGCAGAGGCTGAGATTGGTCTCTGGATTTAACTGGTAGGGCTGGGCAGGAAGCAGAACCGTTAAAGACTCTAGACTGCTCGTACGGGTTTCATTCGTCCCTGGTCCGGTTGATAAATTACTGTTCTCTAACTGGCAATATCATTTTGTTATAAATTAATAGGATACAGAGCTCAAGTTATCCAGAATTACCCCATATTATTATATCTATGCACACCTGGTTGAATGTGCTTGTTTACTCATGTGCAGTAGATCACGAATGATTATACTGTTCTGCATATCCCTCACAAATGTTGGCCATTATAGACCTCACTCTTCTCGACATACTGATAGCCTCCCAAGTGTATCTTCGGTCCTCTTCATTTCTGACTTCTGATTTAACTGAGTTGACATACGTCAATTATTATGTTACATGTGGAGGCGCTGTTAAACTCCGAATGCATGAGGCATCTTTAACTGCCTCGTAGTTCACACATGCTGGCTCGATTTCTTGAACTGAACGACTGCATTTCCAAGACAATTTTCATTTTACTTCGAATTGTTTATCCAGCAATCAACCGACCACAAATGGCCCCTAAAATTACACTTCGTGACCAGTTTCTGTATTTCAAACATAAGGTCTTCAGCTTTTGGATCATTCCGTCACATCATTTTGTGAAACTTTGATTCCTCTCTCCGTCTTCAAAGCTAACACAATGCATACGATTAAATAGTAATAACTCGTGATATTCATATGACAAAGAAGTCATTTTCTCTGAAGAGCCAAATAATTCAGCAGGTTATAAGCTTCTTTGCCGATTAGTGTCGAGAAATAACATGTGAATTTGCCATCTTCAATATCCTTTCTAGTCGTGCGCTAGTTTTCAAAGTCAGCCACACTTGAATTATTATCCAACTATCCAAGCTTAAATCCAATGCGCCACTAGTATGATAATTAGTAGTATCTAGATTTATATGCTAGCTAAGAATTCTCGAAATAGTACAACTTATGGCAAGCAGGACCAGATAGTCACACGCGAACGTATTATATTTGGTAGTCCCAATAAGCGCGCAATCAAGTACAAAGAAATCATCAGTTAGTATGAATGACACAAATATATGCAGATTAACGAGTATCAGACAGCAGTCAGAGTGGTTTGAAGATGCCACAGGTATTTCCAGTTTGAGTCGTGCCCATCCAGTAAAATCTAAAGTCAGAAGCGTGGAGGTTTGAAGATATATTTGATAGATTATTAATATATCGAAAACCGACTGGTCTAAACTGGCTGGCGTTCGCAGGGGATGTTGAGCAAGAATTTCCCAATCATGATCGGGTGCCGATGCATGACCGAGCACCTTCAGCTAAGCGAGTAAATTAAAACTAATGTGGTCAGCATCTAATGTCGAAGACTTACAGGGCTATTGATTTTGAGGATTTATTTACTGCTACAGAGTTCTCTCTTCGGATCTAATCCAGTACAGTGAGTGCGTCCGAGAATTATCATTGCGAACCTACTTTTCCGCCAAATCACATAATAACTTACATTTTTGTTAATCTACGCCATTGTTATTCAAGGTATAGAAGACGACCCTGAAGCTATATAAACTTCATAAGTTCTTTCCGTGCAACCTTTCGAATATGGCATCTTTAAGCTGCGGTTATAAGTGTCTGCAGATTCTTTTAGTGATATTTAATATCCTTGTTTTTGTAAGTTAGATAACATATGGTGAAATACGTTTTTCCTGAAAGGCATGTGGAATTGCTTTGATAGTGATTGGGAGTCTCTCTCAAGTCGCTATTAATAACTACTCTTCTGGGATCGATTCAAGCATTAAAGGTCTCGTAATCTTCGTGATAGTACTCGGATGCTTCCTATTTTTGCTTGGATTTCTCGGATTTTGTGGGGCATGTACAAAAAATACTTGTTGTCTAATCTTGGTAAATTGCTACATACATTTATTTTAAAAATAAAGTACGCAATTCTTCTGTCAATCATGGTTGCGGCTGAAATAGCGGCAGGAATAACGGCTGCTGTGCTGAGAGACGAAGTAAAATCTCAGTTCCTATCTTTGGTTAAAAGCTCCGTCAATGAATATAGCAAGAATCCGGACTTTAAGGATTTCTTAGACAAGATACAACAAGAGGTATACCATTACAAACTGTAGTTTATTTTGTAGTTTCAATGTTGCGGCTCTGAATCGTCAAGTGACTACACATCATCTGGACAAACCGTCCCTGACTCATGTAAAGATACAAAAACTAAGGCTATATACTCAGATGTAAGTTGAGAGAAATTTTGTTTTGGCTTCAAAATATCTACTTAAGTTTTATATTTTTTCAAAAATCTATCAGATGTGATGCGGAATGTTCCATTATTTCAATACGTCTCTTATATCACTATTTAAAGGATGTTTAAACTTATAAAATATGTTGAAATAATAACGAGCAACGGAAAAGTGAAAATTACAATCTTTGTGCATGAGTGAAAAATAATCTATCAAATCTCAACGGTAAACTGTTTTGAATGTTTGTACAAGCTTGGAATCTCGATTAAATACTTTATGAAATGCCTATTAACAGTCAATTTTAAAGTACTACTATCTTCAGCCAACGTGACTACTCAGGACTTACTGTTTCCTGGAGTTGTGAACATGATCTTCTGTTTGCTTTCTTCAGTGATACGAATAGGATAGGAGGTTTTTTGACCTACGCCGCGAGATTTCAGACTCAGGAAGTACCTTAGGATGATTGCAGTCAAATAAACCTAATCCTAAAGTAACTATTAATTTACACAGAACCACATGAAGATTGCAAATGTCTACGCAACTTTTGGGATATTCAACTTATCACTAATGTGTAGATATTAGAACCATCACTAATTAATTTAAAACACGCTAAAAATCTTTGATATTCGGCTTTGCTTACAGTTTGGAAATTTTCTTAATACTCAGGTGCTAAGAGTAATCACTTCATTAAACTTTCAGGATCACACTTCAAAATTCAAACAATTCAAGCCACATCTAAATCTGATGGTTCATATTTATACGTTAAGACTTTTGGCCTAATGTTGTCCATAGACTTGATGAGCATTGCACACTGACTTTGTGTGGCGGGTTAAGTTAGTGATCATAGTTGTAGAGATCTGCTTTTCAAGTGAATCATGTCTGATCACATCCCTACTAAGTGGCATTGTTACTTGAGTCAGCAGTTAATAAAGGGTAATGATTGCACACTGGATAAAATTATTAGTACGACGACAAATATGTTTGATCGTTATTGGTATGGTTCAACTCACCCTTTTACTTTCACAGAAGTGGATAGATAATCTTGACCATTGAGGTTCGCATTTGTCTGAAGAGCACATCAAATCACAAATGTTTTCCTTGCTTGCTTGCTTGCTACTAGAGTACGCTGTTTCTGGGTGAGGCATGGTATAAACATAGGTGATTATTTAAACTGATGACCAACACTCTGGGTCAGCAATGGATATCGCACACTATCTCCGGTCATTTTGAAAACACAGACCATGTTTCCAGGATACCACCTACCCGATGTTAAAAGATTTTGACCTCTAACATCAGAAATAGGGCAATTATTTCCTGAAACTTAATCTCTATTTTAGTCGAACGTAATAATGTTCTTTTTAATTTCAGGGTTGTTCATACAAAGTAATCTCCTTCTTTGAAAAGTATATTGTCGCCGTTTTAGTAGCGGCATTTGTGTTCGCTATCCTTCAATTATTGTGTATTGTTTTCGCTATCTGTGTTATACGAGCTATCAAATCTGGCGATTCTGACTGAGATTAAAATTATTGAAGGTTTAAACACTAAATTTGATTTTCCAAAAGCCTTTAAACTTATATAATTAAATCTCTTTCTCTTCATATTTTTATTTTATTGTCATTTATTAAACAAATAATGGAATCTTTTATTATGTTCAAAAAACATTAAAAAAGAACATGAATAACCAAAGGTTACTGGACTTAATATTGTAATATCAACAGAAAATATAAAATCTAAGTAATGTTTTCAAGACGTATCTTTTCATTTGCCTTTATTGGTTGTTTAAATGAATTAAACTGACACAATGCTTCTTACCAAATGTGGAGTTATGTCAGCAAAGTGTATAGACACTTCACATTCTACTACTTCTGTAACTTCACATTTGACAAACAATAAACATAGATTAGAAGGATCCGAACTAGTTCTAAATAAAACGACTTATTGACAAATAGTGTTACGATAATGTCAGTAATTTTGATTATTTTACTCATTAAAACTCCGATCATCTTAAAGATTTGGAACTCACTCGAATAGCTAAGAATTAGGACTGAAACACTGGAATATATCAAATAAACAGGTTTGGATAGAGTGAGAGAAAACAGTGTCCGTAATTTAAAACCACTCTACTTGTATAACGAGATAAATGTACGTCTGTGTATGAGACCAAATGTCTGGTGTTTGGTGACCAGTGGACGAGCACTGCTAAGGAGTCACATGTCTGTACGGAACAGATACCGAGTGCTTACTGATTTTCAATAGTTATTTAACTACAACAAATCTGTAATGATGGTCATGAAAAAACCTCTGTTTATGAATCCAAGCGTTTTGTTCCTATTCCTTAGCTTTAGAGAAAAACATGATGAGCGGCGGTAGTATACTGCCATTTGATGCACATTTTGCTAATAGTATTCGACAGTGCAAATCTCAACCATCACGACTCCTAAAACTCCTTTATCCAATTAGCCGTGAGAGTGAGTTCAAATATGAGAGATAGCAAACTGTGTCTAGCTGGAAATTTCTCTGAAAACTGTTGATCGCTAAACAGATGTTGTGTTCTAGTTTGACTTTTCAAGAACATTCACATATTAATTTACCAGGGACGCAATTAAATGACATGGTGGATGGGTTACTTTTTACACAGTGGGCTCAAGTCATGTCTTTAAATTCCTGTCAACCCGTGATATGATTGATCAATCATTCAAGGTCATAAAACATTCAATATGGTTGAATTCAATCAGTTGTGTCTACTCAATAGAGTTTCTTGAAAATATCTCGAAGTCAGAGATTATTTTAGAGTTTTTGCAGCTGTGTAAACATTTCTGGTTGTGGTGAAGTGTTTTACAATTGCTCATCTTGTTTTAGCTTCCATATACTACACGGTTTCCTAAAACATTCTTTTGCAAAGATTACAGTGACTTTCTATCCATCCTCATTTCTTGTCACAATAGTTTTGGAAATTCCGCTGAATTTCGTGATGGTCATTTTCTTGTTTTTGGTGTGGTTTTAAATTAGGCAAAGGGCTGAAAAACGTTGATAAAAATCTATTCTAAAGTCATTTTGTTTATTTGGATTAGCCAATCTTAGCCCGTAACATTTATGTTTGCCAAATGGATTTGAGAGATTTGAGTTTTGTTCGAGTTAACCGTCATTTATCCTTTTCTCTCTGGGTGTTAGGGTTATTTTAGAAGATGTACGATGAAAATGTACAAACCTCCTCTGTAATTCAGTCTACAACAGCAAAATTGAAGTTTCTCATCAGAGATCAACTTTGTCTATGCAGCCGACAAAAAACCAAAAAGTGTGTGTAATTACAGTGAGATCTTAATTCAGAAATTCATTAACGGAATATACATCATTTACTATTCAATTTCCTTTTAAAATAGGAACAGTATGTTTATTTCAATTAATTGACAATCAAATTTTAACATGATTAAGAAAATGGATTCGATCTGTGGCACTTAGTTTTAATGAAATTATGTCGGTCTTTCGAAGCGACATAGTAACAGAAATAGTACGTAATGGGTATATTTAACTATATAAGTATACGAATGTTGTCAGAGTATGAAATTCTTGCGAATTAGTGCTTAACCGCCTATATTTCTTTAAAATTTAGAATAATGAAACCACTTGTAACAACCTCAATGACAACGTGAAAAGCCGATGACTGATTGACCATTCGTTTTAAGAATAGGCAGTGTATAAGAATATACTGTTGGTGAAAGCTGTTTATTACGGAACAGAGTATAACATGGTATTGGATCACTGAGAGTGGTAGTCACATAGGGCTCGACCATCACAACAAGATTAGAGAAACATGATGGCGGTTACTTAAGAACGATCAATCAATGTTGATATCTTAGTCCTATAGGAGAAAACCAGTAGTCCAAATAGCCTCGAAGAAGTCTCTGACTCGGACGCTGGATAGAGTAAGTTTGAGTTGAATCATGTGTAAAGATTTCGACAAAGATTTATAGGGAACCTTGCTGGTTAGTTCAAACTAGATAAAGATATGTAGATTTACAGCTTATTGCTCAAGTCTTAAACTTAATAACGCGTCATGTAAGAGGGCACTGAAATGCCTAAATATCATATTTTGATCACTTCTCAGTGGTCTTGAGCTCCCTTTGTATGAATGGCTAGCCGATAACTGTTGACAGTCATTCTGTGACTAACAATCTGGAACCTGGAACGAATGCACGTCAGATCCTAGTGTGAGCATGCAGACAGGAAATTACCAAGATATGTGTGTTAACAGGTTATTGTTTATAAATCTATTCGATTCGGAATAACGGCTTATCCTTACCTCGTAAGTTACTGCATCACTCTTAGTTAGCTTACAGACATAGGCTATAATTCCTTACTTAAACGTTCGCTCAAGCTATTTGTAGGCTAATCACTACTTAAAATATGATGATTATCACTGTAAAGTCAATTTATGCATCTTGCTCTCTTGATAATTTCGAAGAAAACGAAGACAACAAACGATGTTTGGAATCAAATAAACCCGTTTTACAGAGACAATTATCATCATGCTATTTGGACCAGATGCTTATGCATCGAAAGGACATATGATGTAATGCTTATAGACTTGTATGAAGTCACCTCCCTTTTTTTAATCACCTACTGGTGTTTACTCCATTATACTGCTTGATTACATAACCACTTATTTCAAAGCAATGAAACAAGCTCATTGAGTCAATCAATAGAATAAATGCTATTCATAGAAGGAAGTTCAACTTATCGTTTAAGTCACTTACTTGACCTATTCAGTCATATTTATGGTCACTTTTAACACATAGTAGTCGATAATGGCAAGAAATCGAGTCCGTTAACAAAGTTATGATAATTATCAGAAGGGGCTTTGTGGAGATTGTAGTAATTTCAATAGTTAAGATCATGAGTCAGTTGAAGCTAAACCACCATTGAAAACCTGGAAGTACTAGATGGCCGTTTCGTCGTATTGTGGGACTCCTTGGCAGTGGTAAAGTATCGAAAAATTTTCACTAGTGAATATAGGTTGCGTAAGAGTCTTCAGCTCAAAGACAATTATTTACTTGGAAAATATGGACAATTTATGAAGAAAAAGTGAATAAGTTGCAAATAGACTTATAAAATTAGTAGGGGCTAATACGGGTCATTGTGAATTAAGATATTGTACATGTCTGTCTTAAGTGAATGAACTGTTATTGGTTCAGCCGTGCAAAAATTTTCTACGGAAACCCCGTTTGACTTAGTTATTTTGAATTAATAGATAATGAAGCAAAACGATGGCATCTTTACATAGAAATTTTTCCTTACGGCGACGTTGTTCACCGCAAAAATCTCTCATTTAGATAAGTTTAGAGTTGTATTTCTCAACAGTTGGTTAATACATGGATGTATACACGATAAAATTTGACTTTGGGCCACCTCAAAGTTTATTCAGCATAGTTATTGAAAAGTGAATGAGACTCAGACAACAGCTGTATTACTGAACAACTATTATATATATCTCCTTCAGAATACTCATTCGAAACTATTCACGGAGTAAAACACACTGGTTCCAAGAGTAGCTGAATTCGAAACTTATACATAACAAAGAGTTTGGAAATTCATCAATTCAACCCTGATCTTTATCATGTTTTTGAAGCTGTATGTCCAGTTTCTTCGTTAAAACAATGGTCACAACACCCTTTCATATTTTGCTAGTAACTGTTTACTGTTTGTTTGTTTTATTATCTTCATCTTGCTGTATTCTTCAAGTGGACCGCTATTTTGGGTCTAGTGGTTAAGCGCTCGTGCGCGAGACTGATAGGTCCTGGATCCGAATCACGCGGGGAGGAGACTCTTGGATGCACGCTACTGAGGAGTTCCATACTAGGACGAAACAGCTGTCCAGCGCTTCCAGGTTTTCCATGGTGGTCTAGTTTCAATTGACTCATCCTTTCAACTATTGAAATTATTTGTTCATATTTTTATCTTCCCCATAATCGTTTAGTGAATAATCTTTCATATCTCGTTTCTATATGTCGTTTCATTCTTATTAACTTTAAATTACAGTTGGCTTTTAATACTTCTGTGAATGACGTAATAATTCCTTATTATTATTATTATTATTATTATTATTATTATTATTATTATTATTATATGTAATGAAAACGACTAAATACTATTGTACAGCTGTGTTAAATGACATCATGGAAAACGTGGAAGCACTGGACAACCGATTCGTCTTGGTTCATTGAACATGTACCCAGATGGCTTAAAAACCAATTGGTGTCAAATGATCCGATCAACGTGGGAGGTAGAAAACCATATAATTGAAACGGGGTACAAAATTGACAATAATACAGATTTTAAAACGTACAGAAATTATGAAGGACGAATTCCCAAGTTTATTGAAGCCTTGGCTATTCGTAAATTTAAACCTCCCTTATGTGTACAAAAACAATTTGTGGTAACCTTGAATTTACCTTGGTAATCCTTAAGTCATTCTATGGCCTAGGATAACGCAACAATTTCTTACTCTATCTATACAATGGAAAATTGTTTCTCTACCCTTTGTTACTTTTTCTACTTGAATTTTTATTTAATTGACCTTTATTAATTTTTATATAAAATGCCCTGACAAGTATATGTGTGTGACCAGATTGTTCGAAATGTATAACGCGAATACATCACATGTTTCAGATCAACTCCGTCTTCTCATTGTTCTATCAAAATGAATGACATCAATCCAAAAATTTCCCTCCACTGAAATGTCTTAGTT